CAGCGCTGTCCGAAGACGTTTCCGTGGTATTGTGGCCGGCATGACTAAACACCAAGGCGCACGGAACGCTGTTACCTTCCCACCGAAGTGGTACCTATTTATCTACTTGCAATTTCTTGCTTTCGAACTGCTAGGTTGGCAGGAGCTGGAACTAGAGACAGGAGCTCACCCTGTCTTGCGGCACCCGGGTCTTGAACCGCTGAACTACTGACCTTCCACAGCCTGCAGTTCAACGTCTAAACCTGAACATTCCATTAAGCTTCTCTATTTAACAGCCCTTGAGAAACCTTCCTCTTCCAGGGATTTGGCTACTCTTTTTTAAAAAAACTGATCTAAGTAGTGTTGGCCACTGTCTCCTAAGGCAGGGAATTCTGCAAGTTTACAAATATTCAAACAGGAGAAGGGAGAGAACAGCTAAGGCCAAAGTTATTAAGTAATTCTGTATCTGAACAATATTTGCATGAAACCCTCCTATGTTAATAGGTCCATCCTCACCTGAGCATCTGCTTCTTCGTATGGATCAACAAATACAGTTGTTGACTCAATTCGTATTTCCTCCTGGGAACAGAAGAGGGGGGGGGATTATTGTGATATGCTCCACTAGATACATATCACTTTCCTGATTTTTAAAAATTATATAATGAACGATCATGATATGCAGTCTACCTAACAAAACATTAATTTTGCCCAGCGATAATCTTTTTTTTGCAGTCAACACTACCTTGGGACGGTCGGTTTTTGGATCACTCTCCACATTCTCCATTGCTGTCAGAGTCTCGAAACCACCCACCACTCTATAAAAGAAGAAAAGACAATCCATAAGGAAGGGTAAACTGAATCAAACCTCATGTGGAAGGCGATATACACTCTTTTAGGGTCATAGCTAGCAGTTTTGTTGGGTGTACTAATGGCATAAAAAGGGGAACCATCATCAACCAGTGAGAAGCAGATCTTAGTACAGGTAATCGGACATATTCAAAGTTCAGCTGTCCTCTGATTAAAAGAAATCTTAGTCAATAATTCAAATGAATTTGAGCCGATATTAGAGAAAAAAGTATCCTTTACTGGTCTTTAGATGATGCCTACATTTGTCTGTGCAGCATATTTGATTAAACTTTCCCCCCATAATTATGCTTTTCATTATATGCAACGAGCATACAAATGTAGTTATAAAACAGCATATTGCAGCACTAATTCATTCAATCATGTTAATAAAATATTAAGAATCTGACAGTTCTGGATGCCACATTGAATGGTAATTCATGCCAATTTCTGATGAGAACAATGACCCTGCATTAAATGAAAGAGTCTTGCTACAAGTTCTGTTTGACTTCGGTGTGGTTCACCATTCTATATGTGGGTGGAACAGCAAAAGCCATTAATAATACATCCTGCGTTAAAACTCTGGGGAGCTGTTTAAGGTGAGCCTCTGCGCCACATTATTCTGTGATTATTTCTTTGTTCACAGCAAAAGCTCAGTTTTCTTATGATACTCCAGACTGATAACAAAAAATCCCCTTCTAAATGCTGAAGACATTATAACATATGCAACCTGCATTTTTAAGTGCCCTCGAAGCAGACTTATGATTTGATACATCTCTTACTAATATTCTTCTGGATATTCTGCTCTTGCCCTCATTTCAATCTGGTTTGGGACAGTGATGTCATTAGTGGCCCCGATAGATGGTTCCTGTTTGCAAAGGCATTGCTTTCCTGCTAATTTTGTTGGATGCGACAGCTGCTTTTGGTATGGGGGATCAATGCCGTTCTGTTGCATCATCTGGAAATGGAGATGCAGGCGAAGGGTGTGGTACTTCGATGGTCTCTATAGTTCTTGTTTTAACTGACTCAAAGAGTTATAGCTGCTGACACCAAACTGGCCCCCTGGAAGCTGATGGGCAGTGCCCCAGGACTTGATCCTTTCTCCCATGTTTAATCTTTATGTTGAATAATTGAGATTGTCCATATCTTTGGAGATAGATGTCATCAACATGCTGATGACAGCCAGCTCTATATTTTGTTAACTAAGCCTCCAGAGGCAGCTGTCTCTGCTCTGAGCTACTTCCTGGATGCCAAGGTCAGTTAGCTAAAGGGGAAATGCTGAAGCTGCATACATATAAAATGCAGGTGATACTGTCTGAAACACTTGAAAATCTGGAGGGAGTCATGCTACCAGTGCCAACCCTGGACAGGGTGATGTTGTCACTGGCAGAAAGTATGAAGTGCCTGGGACTTTTGGACCCAGCTATGCTGATGGAGAAGCAGAATGGCGTTGTTGCTAAGAGTGCCTCCCACCAGTTACACCTAGTGAACAAACTGGCTCCACTCTTGAACCCAAATGACCTGGTGATACTGATCCATGCTACAGTAGTCTTGAAGCTAGAAGGCTGCAATGTATTCTATGCAGAGTTGCCCTTAAAAACAACCCAGAAATTTCAATTGGTTCAAAACCCCACAGACCATTTGCTTACCGCATTATTTTTCTCATATCACAGCTGTCTTGGAGAAATTGCATTAGCTGCCAGTATATTTCTGGGGTCAATTTAAGGTGCTGTTGCTAAACTTCAAAGCCTTTCATGGCCTGGGGACTGCATACCTGAAGGACCGCCTCTCCCCGTACAAATCTGTGTGTCAGCTCTGTGTTCAATAGGCTGACTCCTTCTCTCTGTGCCCCTCTTACAGGGAGGTTTGAATGGTGGCAGCCCATCCCAGAGCCTTCTCAGGGACAGCCCCAATGCTTTGGAATGGGATACCGCAGAATGCTAGATCTATCCCGTTCCTGGCCCAGTTTTACAAGGCAGTGCTCTTTCTGAAAACCTTTGGATAAGGTCAGAAGGGATCTTGTACAACATTGATAGGGCTAGTGACAGGCGGCCATGGGAAAAGGATGGCTGTCTGAGATGTGATGGTTGCTGGCTTAAGTTTTGTACTGGTTTAAAGTGAGGATTTTTATCATTTATAGTATAGTCATTTGTAAACTGTTCTGAGCCTGCAGTGTTGCACAGAAAGGCACACACGGTATTGCAATAAACAAATGAACAAACAATTCTGTTCTCTCTTTTTTTGGGAGGGGGGATGATAATTCAAAGCAGCCAGAAAAATATACAATGGGAATCTCTATAAATGGGAATCTCTAGTTCTGAATGCTGTATTGCCAGAAGGAAACGTGTACTATGTGAGGCCTTGTAAAAGAGTCAGATTCTAAATTTATTTTCTACGTTTCATGTGAGTTCTCGGCTCTGCTGACATCTGTGTCTTGTACATTCCCTTTTCCATTTGTGTCTGTGTTTTCCCTCTTCCTAAATTATATCAATTAAAACCTTTTGCCATATTGTGCTGGCAGTGACCCAAAAGTAAACAGTCTCCTGTTCAGAAGACAATGCAAAAAATTATTTCTGGAATGCTTCAGCAGAGAAACAAAAACACACTCATAGCATAAGGGGGGGGGAAACGTTGTTGTGCAAGGGAGAAAAAACAGACATTCGCTCCACAAATTTGTGTTTACCAGGAAAACAGTTTTAAGATTTAGATTTAGGTAGGGGTCTAGTAACTTTGGAAGAAACACTTTTAAGGGTTACCAAGCTTTCAAGTGTGCATATTGTGGTGCTTGGGTATGTTTCTTTAAGAGAACTTGTTGCTGGGGAAGGAGGCACATATAAGCCAAGATGCAGAAGTGGGGATAGTGTGCAGATTTAGGGAGGTATTGTTTTAAGCCATTTTTCTTGTTGGAGTTTTTTTAAATAAACGGCTCCTTTAACGACAGAGCCTTTATTGGGTAAAACTTAACAAACTAGCGATGAGGATGGCTATTTTGCCTTTGAACCCCTCTGTACCTTTTTTGCAGGGTCCAGGTGAGCCTCCGATTGTTTTTACTTCTTGGATCTGGATGTTTGATAATTATCTGCTTGCATTAGTGACAAAGTGGTGTCTGAAGAAAGAAAACCTGCACTGCTTGTTCACTCCTTGGGAGCAGAAGGACAACACAACTGCCTTATACTGAGTCAGGCCACTGCCCCTTCTAAGTGAGTACTGTCTCAACCTGACTGGCAAGGGGTCTCCAAGTCTTCATGAGAGGAAAGGTCTTTTCCAGCACCTACTGCCTGAGGGATCCTCAACAGGGTGGTGCTGGGAACTGAACCAGGGACTTTCTGTATACCAACCTTCTGTATACCAACCTGGGAACTGAACCAGGGACTTTCTGTATACCAACCTCCAAACTATACCCCTTCTCTCTGGCTACTGAGCTATCGCTCTTGTGTGTATACACACTGCACATATAGGAAAATGTGTGTACCTGTAATCATCACCTGGTGTACACTTCATCCTGAATGGAAGCTCGGCGACCTAATTTTGGAGGGGGGGTATTTTTATCCATCACCCTGAAGGAGGGACTGCAGCCAGAGCAGAGGCAGCAACGAGACCTTGAAGGCTGGGCAGAGGACACAAACTTTCACCAGCTCTGCGTGTGTGTTGCTAATCCGTCCTATATTAACGGCTTTCAAGCAGCTTTGAGAGTCATACATGGTGGAAAATCGAGGCTAAAAATCCTTTAAATAAACTAAGCATTTTCTACACAGAGAAGTCCAGAGGGGCTTCTACCCTAGCAGCTGTTTGCACCTTTTCAGTGAGACCTGATTCCCATTTTGAGAAATGTCTCATTTATTTAAGTACTGTATCCTGTCTTTCTACCATTTTGTCTCTTAACTGGCTTACAGACTGAAACGAGGTAAGAGAATGCCAATGCAATAAATCCAACAGAATAGACTGAGAGAACAGGCAGCCTAGCAGAGGAAGACAGACGCAAGAAACAAATTAATTGCCACTGAAAGCTCAGGAAAAGAGGAGAAACTTAAGTCTAAAGGAAAATAATAGTGCAGAACCAGCCAAACATGGCTGGGGAGAGAGTTTCAAAACTGAGGGTCCGCTTCAAAAAAGGCTCTGCTCCCTTGACAGTCACCATCGCCACTGGTGAGATCCAAACAGGGAGCTCCATTGGAGACACCAGTTGACAGGAGGGTTTGATTGGGAGATGGCTACTTCCTTGAGACAGAAGGAGCAACGTGACAAAAGTCTCTTCCTGACATCCTTGTACTCGGTGAACGGGACAGATCAGCACTGAAGGCTAAAATGCAGGCCCTCCCACATCTGGCAAGAGCCTCCAAATGAGACACTGGCTTGTGTCCTCCCCAGGGCTATTTTTGGGCAGGAACGCACAGGAACGGAGTTTCAGCTGGCTCCCGAGTTGGCCACGCCCAGCAGGAACTCATTAGCATAATAGGCCACACCCAACAGCAGAAACTCATTAGGATTGGCTACATTAGGGGTGTGTGGCCTAGTATGCAAAGAAGTTCCTGCTACAAAAAAAGGCCCTGGGTTTTGACAACAAACAAGGTAAACAGAATAACCAGCAAAAGGTGGGTGTGGCTGGATGACCACACTTCTGGTAACATGGGGGTGTGGCCTAATATGCTAATGAGCTGTGCTGTCAGGGGTGTAGCCTATGATGCTAATGAGTTTATGCAGTTGGGCGTGGCCTATTATGCTAATGAGTTCCTGCTGGGTTTTTTCTACAAAAAGAGCCCTGGTCCTCCCCATGCTGCTAAGTATGAAGCCTTCCTCTGATGGGAGCGGCTCCTCCTCCAGAGGAAGGGCTTCTTTCATCAGAGGAAGAGGTCACAGTTGGCTATTTGCCATGGCAGGATCATGCAAGCCATTTAGCAAACACACACGCTCCAGCAGCCCGCAGACCACAGCAGGGAAATGCTTGAAAAGCTGCAATTCTCTTGTCAAGGTTTGTTGTCTCAGTCTCCATTCCCCTACATTTACACATCACAGAAGGCTCTACTCCTATGACATATCTAATAAATACAGAGGTTAGGCTAGAAAGTTTTTTTCATTTTTCCATCTCCTGCTCAGAACATACTTCAAAAACCGTGAGTACCCTGAAAGAAGAAGAGGAGGAGGAGGAGATTGGATTTATACCCCGCCCTTCACTCGGAGTCTCAGAGTGGCTTACAAACTCCTTTCCCTTCCCCTCCCCACAACAGACACCCTGGGAGGTAGGTGGGGCTGAGAGAGCTCTTTTGAGAACAGATCTGAAAGGACTTGTAACTATTATTATTATTGTTGTTGTTGTTGTTGTTGTTGTTGATTTATAACCCGCCTTTCCTGCACAAACAGGCTCAACTGACCCAAGGCCACACCAGCAGCTGCATGTGGAGGAGTGGGGAATCAAACACGGTTCTCCCTGATCAGAATCTGCACTAACCACTACAAAAAACTGGCTCTCTAGAAGAACAACTCAGTAACCAGCATTGAACAGTTTCACAGGACATATCCAAAAGGTCAAAACAGGGGAAATTATTTAAAATATGGATTGCTCTAAAAATACAGCAGTTGGAGCATAAAACGTTCATCATATAATCACGAGGACTTGTTGCAAATGAATTTTGGCCCCGGTCACACGGGCCGGATATCGCGCGGGGGGGGCGTGGCTGTTTGCCCCGGAGCGAACTACCGCATGGCCGCTGGATCTAACGTCCCACCGACGTCCCGTGGTTCGGGGGGAGGTGCCGATCATATGTAAATCCTGTGGCGCGGCAAAGAAGCAGCGCAGCGGGGGTGGTTGTTTTTTTTAACTGAAGTGTGCGCATGCGCCGTTGGCTGCTTGTGCGCATCCCGCGGAGACTTGGGGGGGGAACCTTTTCGCGACGGGACATGGGCGGGCGCCGGATGCCACGAGCTACCACCGGAAACGTGATCAGACGCCCGCCCTTGCCCTGCAGTTTCAGGAAAGTAGTACCTCGGAGGTACTAGTTTTTTACAGCACATCTTCGGCGGGAAGCCTCGGGTTCGCCATGGGAGCAATCGCGCCCGGAAAATCCGCCTATCTTCTGTCTCTGTAGCGTGGCTAATGCTCCATGTGACCGCAGCCCTAATGATGAAACAGTCTGAAAACATTCTGCCGGCCTGCACTAAGATCTTCATTACAACAACAACCCCTGATTTGGGAAGAGTTCTTAATTTTGCACAACAAAACACTGGTAACGGGGGTTGAAGATTGCACATGCATCCCTGCCAGGTATATCTCCCCTCCCTGAATTGTTATTATGACTCATGAAACTCGCAGAATACAAAAAAGGTATTTTTAATTGCAATGACAGTGCTTGCAACCGCTCAGACACCTTCTTCCACCGAAAACATTAATATAACTTCACTGAACAGATTGCACAACCATCTAGCCTGGTGCATTTTTCTCTTCTAGTCCTCACCTCCTGTATGCAAGAGCTTCCTTCCCTTAATGTGCACCTGACAGTCAGTTCCTAGAAATGTGATTATTTAAAGGCCGATGTCATTTTAGTTCTGATCCTCAGGTATGCACACCAGCTTGCAGTCTACAGATCCAGCCAGTTCTCTGGCAACGTAACAGGGCTAACCACTGTGTCCTGATACAGGCATTTGACTGTGTAAGCAGAAGAACCAATTAACATCCCAAGGGAGGCACTGCTTGCACCCACTAAGCTTAGCTATCAGAACCATTCCCACCACCACCACGATTTTCCTTGAATGTGACTGGGAAAACAAGGCCCATTCATCAAGACAGCAGTTTGTGTGAAGAACTCTTTGGCAGGAGGTGCCCCAACCCAAACACTGCTATATGTCAGCGGTGGCCAAACTTGCTTAATATAAGAGCCACATAGAATAAACATCAGATGTCTGAGAGCCACAAGACATGAACAAATATTACACACAGGGTTTTATTGAAAAATATAAAAAATTGCTTTTTACTAACATTAAATGAAGTAAAAACAGATATTGAGAACTATATATGTATTTGTCCAATGGTATTTGTTTGCTAATGATATTTTTTTGTCTAAGAGAGAGAGAACGCATTTGAGAAGGCACTGAAAGTTAAAGTTGGTTTCTTTCTCTGCTCCCCCCCCACCTCAAGCCTACCCAGGGAGGGGAACACTGGCTGGGGAAGGAAAGTCCAATCGGGGAGGCCTGCCTACCCTTCTCTTCCCCAGCCACCGTGCTGGGAGCCGCACAATATGTGTGAAAGAGCCGCATGAGGCTCCTGAACTGCAGTCTGGCCACCCCTGTTGTATCTTCTGCTCCCCAATGGGTTCAGGGGCAAGTGCTTCTGGGAAGGGCTTGTTCTTGGCCCCACCAGTATTTGCTGAGCTGGAATCGTCAGTGGAGGGTAATGTCAAAGGGTTATTGGACCCTTGGTGTTGCCCTCTGGCATGCACATCAAGCCCAGTACTAGTTTGTTTTAGGGTGGAAAACCTGGGACCAATAGCAATTTTGTTGAAACATACTGATAAAGCTGCTTTCACGTCCTAAAAGGTGGAAAATGAGGGGTAGAAGAAGAAGAGATTGGATTTATACCCCGCCCTTCACTACTCAAAGGTGTCTCAGAGCGGCTTCCCCTCCCCGCAACAGACACCTTGTGAGGTAGGTGGGGCTGAGAGAGCTCTGACAGAAACTGCTCTTTTTCAAGGACAGCTCTTATCAGAACTATGGCTTGCCCAAGGTCATCCAGCCAGGTCCAAGTGGAGGAGTAGGGAATCAAACCTGGTTCTCCCAGATTAGAGTCCGCGTACTTAACCATGACACCAAACTGGCTCTCTTTGAAATCATTCAAATAAGTAATCGAGAAATAAATAAAAGAAAATCTCTCAGAGTATGTCTTGGATCTTCCTGCAATACAGATATGTGGATCCTCCAGGCTGGAGAAAAAGACATTTTCACAAGAAGTGGCACCTAGAATAGGTTTAATATTACTGAATAAGAAGCTGCAAGATCTTTAGTTTCCCAGTACCCCAGATGATTTGCCTTTGAAAATCCCAAACATCTTTCCCAAAACAGCAGGAAAAAAGAGAGAAAGATGATGCAAACGCTACACTATGTGAACAGGGGGGAAAAACATACAGAGAGGAAACATCACTTTTGCCCACCATTAGAACAAAAACAGTTTTCAAGATTTTTGCTTGAACATGATTGGTAAAATGCCCAGGCCCTTTCATCTGCTACTGAAGTACACACAGGGAAACTACAAGAATACTTTAATGAAATTGTCCTCTTTACCTTCCAAACACTGTGTGCTTCTTGTCCAAGTATGCGCAAGAACGGAATGTGATAAAGCTGGAGAGGGAAGGAGAAAAAGACAGATCATACTAGCACATTTGTATTTATTCTCAAAAGCCAAAGTATTCGAACGACTGAGCCACGCAGAGTTCGCACTCTGCTTCTAGATTTTTAAATTTAATTATATAATGTTACACTTTAAAATAGCAGCAGCGATGACATAATATATATGACAACAGGAGAAAAAGGGGCACAACAACCATATCATTTACAAAACTATTTAAATATATAAGCAATTTCACTCTGCTTCTAGATGGCTGCCTGTTGGTAGGAACTCAGGCCCGGTTCACACATGCAGAAGGCTTGAAGTGGCAAGGATGCTGCAGAGACCACTCAAGTGGCTGGTGGCAGTGAAATGGAATCTTATACATGTTGGGAGGTGGGAAAATAAAGATGTAGAGGTCGCCTCCTCATTGAGGTCTACCGGCTTGAGACCTGGGCCAGCTGAGGAAATTCAACATTCCCTGTGGTGGAAAGAGATACCTATGGGCAATGCTCCCTCTAAGCTGTGGAGTCTTGTGAGCAAAAATCCTACTTTGTGAGCTACTGGCATTAAAGTTGTGAGCGAGCAATTTGGCTACTGCATAGATTAGTTTGCTCTGGAGCCATGTTTCCTGAGCTAAGACAAAAATGTGTGAGCTGGAGGCTAAAAAACTGTGAGCTAGCTCACAGTAATTCAGCTTAGAGGGAACACTGCCTATGGGACCCATTTTGCCACCTCTACCAAGAGGGGCCCTTTACCCTATGCAGTTGTGCCCTTGCTCGCACAACACTTTCTAGGAACCTGCACCAATCTGAAAACATGCCAGCCTCCAGGTGGGGCCTGGAGATCTCCCGCTTTTGCAACTGATCTCCAGCTGACAGAGATCAGTTTCCCCTGGAGAAAATGGCTGCTTTGAAGGGTGGACTCTATGGCATTATACCATGCTGAGGCCCCTCCCCTCCTCAAACCCCACCATCTCCTGGATCCACCCCCAAAGTCTCCAGGTATTTTCCAAGCCAGACCTGGCGACCCTATTGTCAACCTCCAGGTGGTGGCTGGAGATCTCCTGGGAGTATAACTGCTCTCCAGGTCACAGAGATCAGTTCCATCTAGTCCAGCATCCAGTCTCACAACGTGGTCAGCCAGTTACTATTAAGGGCAAATAAGAGGGCATAGATGCCAAGGCCTTTTCCCAGTGTTGCCTCCGAGCATGGGTATTCAGGGATTTTATGCCCTAGATTGTGGAGGTTCTCTTTAGTCACAATGGCTAGTTGCCACTGATGGACCTGTCTTCCATGAATATGTACTCTCTTAAGCAAAATGCACACACACAAAAAGGAAGGCACTACTTACAACTGCGACTTGTTACAGTTGGGTCCAGAATTGGCCATGCTGAGGACGCCACGTCCTGTATGAGACAGGTTGGGCTTGAATTCATCTTTAAATGGCTTTCCCCAGTAAGATTCTCCTCCTGAAACAAACAAACAAATAAACGAAGGCCTGCTGAGTCAAGCCACAAACCCATCACCCTCCTCTACACGCATGATATGTTTCCGTCAGATTTTCATGCGCTTGGAAATCCCACAGCTGTCATTCTGAAATGTGAGAATGGCCTTGGATTCTGGCAGAGAGCCCAGTTTTCTTTCTGATAAAGACGGCAATCAATAATATGCAACTGAGAATCAAAACAACAATAAATAGACCTCCGTGTCCTGAGGCGAATGAAGCAGAGGGGAAGCCCTGGCTGAGGGAGCTCATGCCATCAGCTCCTAACAGCGACCACCAACGAATGCCTTCCTGAGCTCCTTGAAGGAAGGGATGGATAAAAACAGGACGGACAGACCGACCCACCAATAGTCTGAGGGAGACTAGCCCCTCTTCCATTTTCTTTGGGTGTGAGGGGAAAATCAGAGAAGCTCAGGGAGCAAGAACCTGAGAAAGCTCCTGAGAGAGGCCAGCTGAGGCAGCCCTTTGAAGCCCCACCTTTCAGGGGCAACTTTATCACTTTTCTATTCTGCCCTTCCTCCAAAGAGCTTAGGGCAACAGATATAGTCAGTCAGTCGGTCAATATTTATTATGGTCAAAAAACCAGCATATAGTTCTTCCAGTCCCCACTGGGGAGAAAAGGGGACTACAAATGAATGAATTTTATCCTCACAAGAATCCTGTGAGGCAGGTCAGGCTGAGGAAGAATGCCCCAAAAGTCCCCTAAATGAATGTCATGGTCGAGTGGGGATTCCAAGGCCTGTGTGCCCAGAAGCGAAAGGCAGAGAAGAAGCAGAAAGATGTTGGAGAACTGCTGCCAGTCTGAACAGACAGTACTAAATAGATGAACTAAGAGCTCAGCAGCTCGCTACATTCACATGTTCAAGCCTGGGCCAAAGAGCTCATGACACTGGACTTTCAGGACCTGGGAAAGAAGAGCCATCTGGGCAGAGTGTCAGAGCAATCATGGCGACCACAACTGGGCCTCAAATAGAAGTACATTTTTTGGGGGGGGGGGACTGCTGCAAGCTACACCGAGCCCCTGAGGCAGAGTGGGATATTTTTTTAAAAAAACAACTAAAATAAAATCAGTTCCCACCGACAGCCTGAAAGAATGGCCAGTGTGCTCTGAGGGGAAAAGCAAGAAAGGAGAGGGCAGGGAGGCCACACCATCAGCCCCCCTAAACAGTGCGCTAACAGCCTGAAACTCCAGCTGCTTTTCCTGTTTACACCTTAATACTTTAAACTGTCAACTGCCATGAGTGCCTTGAGAGACAGAGCACAGTTAAATTTATAATAAGACCCTGGGGGGAGGGGACAGAGAGAGTGTGTGTGTAAGAGAGAAACGGAAATATATATGGGCAGGAGAGAAGATATAGATGTATACAATTAAATACGAGGTGGAGAAAGTTAAGACACAACGTTTGCCCTGTTCTTCTCCATTAGAACTTGGGGGTCACCCAATTAAATCCACTGGCAATAGATTCAGGACAGACAAGACAGAAAGGCCTTCTTTGCACAACACACAATCAGCTCATGGCATTCACCGCCAGGAGACATAGTGACAGCCACTGGCACACAGAAAGACAGCTTGTCAGAGAGAAGGGTTCTTGCCTAGCTGAGAAGTAATGCATACATTATTATGTATTTAGAAGAGTTTTTGAAAAGCCACCTTTTGACCGTATCTTGTCATCAAGGGGGTTTGCAATACAATAGTGAACGATAACATTACATATCAGAAACTTTTAAACCAATTCATAATATATATGTGGTGCCAATATATACGATAGCCAGGTATTACATATTACATTATATGATAGCCAGGTATTACATAGCAGTTCTTTAGTGTAAACTGAAGGGCCTTCAGAACAGGTTGGTCTTCATCTGGAAGGACATCAGCAATAAGAACTTTCCCAACTCCTGTGGGAGGACATTACATAGCTCAGGGGGATCAGCAGAAAAAGCCCTTCATCAAGTCCCACTGGTTAAGGCTGGTTATCTAAGGAAGGCCTTCATGTGGACACCAAGACCTAGGTCAGACAGTACAGTTGGAGATGTTCCAACTGTACTTAGGAACACTGGATCCAAGATACTTACGGGCTTTAAACACCAGCACGTTAACCTGGGCACAGAACTGGAAGCCAACATAAATGGCAAGCACTGATCACAGATGGACATCTCAGTAAGGACTTTAGCCACTGCATTTTGTACCCATTGTAGTTTCTGGGCCATGGCTCGGTGGCAGGGCATCTGTTTTGCTTGCAGAAGGTCTCATATTCAATCCCCTCATATCCCCAGTTAAAAGGATCAGGTAGTAGGTAATGCGAAGGACCTGAGATCCTACAGAGCTACTACCAGCCAGAATGGACAATACTGGCATTGATAAAGCAATGGTCTGATTCAGTATAAGGCAGCTAAAGGATTTTCATGCCTGGCCGAACTGAGCATGCTCAGGAGCCCCAGTGAGCATGCCCAGAAGGGCAGGCACGGACATCCCACCAGTTCAAACCAACCGCCGCGTATCAATCTCCTAACAAAGCCCCCACCTATATTCCTGGGAAGACTACAGCCCAGATAGAGGCTACTATCTTAGTGAAGGCCTAGTCTGAGGTTGGAAAAATTGCAGGTTGGGGGCCATGTGTGATTTCCAGAACTGCATGAACTAGACAGATGGCCATCTTTTGACAGGACCATCACAGCTGCCAAGATCCCAGCAAATGTACTTGTTTAATCCATCTTTATTCTTCATTTCCCCCAAGAAGCTCAGGCTTCTGTAAATTGTTCTCTCCTCCTCCATTTTATCCTCACACTGGAAAAACTATGAACAACCAATCAAGAGATGCTCAAATAGCCATTTTGTACAGTCCACACAGTGGGTAGTGGTATGCCCCAGGAAGAGTCAAATCCCTTCATGTCCAGGGCTAACAATTCAAAACCCTATCTATGCAGAACTTTTAGATCCCATCTTTCTTCCAAGGAGCTGAGAGTGAGGGACGTCATTACCAATGTTCCCTCTAAGCTGTGGAGTCTTGTGAGCAAAAATTCTATTTTGTGAGTTACTGGCATTAAAGTTGTGAGCAAGCGATTTAGCTATTGCATAAACTAGTTTGCTCCAGAGCCATCCTTCCTGAGCTAAGACAAAAATGAGTGAGCTGGAGGCTAAAAAACTGTGAGCTAGCTCACACTAACTCAGCTTAGAGGGAACACTGGTCATTACCCCCTCCTGCATGTTAGCCTTGCCAAGAACTTTTTTTAAAAATTAACATTTTAATTAATTTTTTTAATGTCAATACAGAAATCACAACAATCAGATCATCAGGTGATTGTACAAAAAGTTGGCTACGACTGGGTCATTCAGTAACATTTTGGTAAGGTCATCAGTTGGTCAATAACAGTGCACAAAACATACAGTCGTACAGTCAGTGCTCTCGGTGGAGTCTCCATTTGCTACTATACATTTCAATCTAGCGTGGTTTTGGTTTTTCACAAGTCCATCTTTGATCTGTATATAGGGTTTTCTGGAATTCTATTTGCCTTTGCCATATAATTAATGAGTAGATACCAAGTTGCTATGAATTTCTCCTCAAATTTACTTGTGGATAGGTTGGATGTGTTAATCGGTATTTTACACATAATTAAGTGGTCCCATACAGCCTTGCAAGAACTTTATGAAGTGGGTTAGGCTGAGAGAGTGTGACTGGCCCAGGGTTCCCCAAGGGGCTTCCTGGCTTTGTGGGGATTAGAACCTGGGCCTCCCAAATCCTAGTGTGACATTCTAACCCAGGGATCCCCATACTTTTCAAGCCTGTGGGCACCTTTGGAATTCTGACACAGCATGGTGAGTGCAGCCACAAAATGGCTGCCACAGGAAGCAGCCACAAAATGATTGCCACAGCTTAAACTTCAGTCACATAGTGAAGATCCATGTGCTGCAGTGACAGCTGCTACCAAAGCAACATTTAAAAAGAATCTGCATGGCTAATCAAACCTCCTGTGTCCAATCAGAAGCCTTGCTGGATAAAAACCCTACTTGACCCCACACACTTCCTAAAAATGCAAGAAACTGCAAGTAGATAAATAGGTACCGCTTTGGTGGGAAGGTAACAGCATTCCGTGTGCCTTGGTGTTTAGTCATGCCGGCCACATGACCACGGAAAAGTCTTCAGACAGCGCTGGCTCTTTGGCTTGGAAACGGAGATGAGCACCGCCCCCTAGAGTCAGATTCGACTGGCTTTCAAGCGAGGAAAACCTTTACCTTTTACTATAGTGCCCATGGGCACCATGTTGGGGACTCCTAACCTTTATACTATACAGGCTTTCCAATCTGAGGTGGACCAGGGCTCTGTGAAGTTCTCTTGAACAACTTGAGATAGAAAATGGGGTCTCTGAGCGCACGCTCTTTTGCCGGGCTGTCATCTCTGTATTATTTATGACAGATGTGACATTTTCATTTTCCTCCAGGATTATTTCTAATCAGGAGAGAAAATGCTGAGATGAGTCATTTCCATAGTTATACAGCCGAGTCTATAATCTTGTTTGACAAACCATGGGGGGGGGGGGGTAAGAGTGGGAAGAAACATATTTCCCCTTAGCATCATTATCAGAAACACCAGAAATGCATCTGAACAGGCCGGGAAGAGGCCGGTCTGCTTGCAGAACAGGCTTATGAATCCTCTGGAGATGCCGTATCGCTGGCAACAGAGTGGCTTGCAAAAAGCATCTGCTACCCTCAATAGGTGATTGGCACACGTGGGCTGCAAAGGAATTGCAGATGCTGACAATTGCAAAGGGAGAAGAGCCACTGGAGAAAGGGGAAAGGGGGAGGCACAACCAACAGACCCTGGGCAGGGCAGGAAAATCCCAGTGGCTCCCACCCACCCCCCTATCGCTTCTTATTTATTACAGTTACTTGGATCTCAGTTTTCCAAACATTTATTTGCTCAAAGCGACCGGAAGGTTTATAAGGATTTATAGAGATTTATAAAA